GTGGATTTACTAGTGGATTTACTAGTGGATTTACTAGTGGATTTACTAGTGGATTTACTAGTGGATTTACTAGTGGATTTACTAGTGGATTTACTCAGGTTAGCCATTAGGAGCCGGGAATGAGCTTCCCAAAACCAGCAACGGTGCCAACACATCGAGGGCAAACGCCGCCCAGAACAATCTAAAACAAGAGAGCAATTAATGGCAGGCTGTGGTAGTTAACGGCATGGCATTCCCGCTAGGAAATTGCGCTTTGTAGCCTCCACGTTATCCCGGGGAACTTCCCAAGCTCATCGGAGGAGCAGCGGAACGAGACGAGGGCACAACCGCCCCCTGCACGTTTCGTAATTGCCCATTTCATCAAATATCGGACCATCTTTCATTCGGCAGTTGATCTCACACCAGTCCCCGGCAGTTTTTCTACCTTTTCTTCAGTCTTTTCTAACTCATTCTTGTCTCTCTTGACCTTTCTTTCTATTACTTGAACTCGACCGCAGTCAAATTTTATTATTTTTTTCCAGATATAGTAATATTCAACACACTGGGCCACATTCTTAGTCTGAATCTAGTAGGAGAAAAACAGAAGCAAGCTGCAATGAACACCGTTAAACATTCATTATATGAGCGGATATACGTTCGTGTCATTAATGTGCATTAATCTGCGATGAGCAGAGAAGGCAGCACGGAGCAGAGCCTCCCCCCGCGCCCGGTGCCACGGCCGCTCCGAGGCTCCCACGCCTGGGAAACGTGACAAAACCAGACAGAAAACAAGTCCTCCCCTTGGAAAAAGGCTCTCAGCAGCGCTGGGAAGGCTGCTGATTAACTGTGCTTAATTATTTTAATACGGCTGCTGTTTTGTTCTGTTGTAATTACACGTTAGGGCGAGCAATGCCGTGCACGGATGTCTTTTAAGCATTAAGAAGCAAAGAAAGGGATGCTAACAGGCGACGCAAAATATTACTTTCTGTGTTAAGCCTGTCAACACGAACAGCCCCCGACCGAGAATAATCGCTTTTCAACGCAAACTTTAAAAATACAAATACACAGCAAGATAAAAGTTAAATTAGAGGCTTTTAACACAGAAAGAGAGATTACAAATTGGCTCTTGCTGTTATTGCTCTCAATTCATCACCTAAACGCTCCTGAACTCCTAGAGCTTGGAGGTTTGGAGGAACTGTGAGCAAAACCAAGCTGCCACAAACAGAACCCACTGCTTATGTCGCGTTCTGGTTCTGAGCAAGAAGGCAGAGCAGGTTTTGCTTTGGGGGGGTGTTTCAGGGGTGTTTGTTCCAGCAATCCCCCTCATTCCGGGGCAGCGAGTGCGGCTCAGAGCAGAGAACAAGGACCCCCAGCCGCCCCCGAGGCGTCACCTTCTTCTGGATGAGGAAGAAGTCCTTCTTGTGCACGCAAAACGCCTTCTTGAAGAGCTGCCTCTCGACGGGCGTCCACACATCCGAACCTGCAACGGAGAGGAGGTCGTTGGACCCCTCGGGAAGCCCGACGGTCGCTCCGAAAGCGGCTCCGCGGGCCCCAAGCGGAGCGGCGGCCGCCGGCCTCAACTTACCTGCGTAACGGTAATTAGCAAGGGGGTGAGATTCGGATTTCTGGGGGCCCCCGAAGAGCAGCATTTCCAGGGCCTTCTGCAGCAATTTAACACGAAAACATTTTAGATCCCTCATTCCTAGCGTTTCACAACGGGGAAGACGAGCTCTCTTTACAACCCACGACAGGTTCCGTAACTCCAAGCTACGCTAATTCAGCGGGTACCGAGAGGCAGCTCCAAAAGCTCTATTTTTAAGCACTTGAGGTAGCAAAGAGACCAAATCCTGGTCTGCGGAAGACGCGGCGGACACGCGGGCCGATCACCCAAGCGCAGCCCGATGCCCTGCTCGCTACGGCCAGAACGCTGCTGCTCACCAGCACGTTGCCCTGCGCTTCGTGCAGGCAATGCAAGGCGAGCTCCAGGTTCGTTCCTCCGCCGGGCATTACGCTGGAGCAGGCCATGTTTAGCAGCTCGGTTACTGCAACGGCAACAAAAAGGCAACATAAAAGCCCATTTCTGCACTGCAAGAAGAAAAAGCGCCAAAAAAAAAAGAAAAGGGGCACGAAGAAGGAAAACGGAACAAGGGCAACGGTTAGGCTGGATAGCAGGGAAGCACAAGAAGGTTTTGGAAGGAAGTTTTCAAAGCCACCTCTGTCCTGGGTGTCCTGGTTCGTTGCGATGTCTCCCCAGGGCTTCCACACTAAGGAGGCCACCTGATCCTCAGTTTCCAAGTCGGATCTATCCCGGAGGTTCGGGATCTCCGCCTGAAAGCGGCTTCCGATGTTGATGTGCCTAACGAGACAAGGAAGGGCAACGAGGAGGAGATGAACCCGAGAACTGGAGCTAAGCAAGGAGCAGATTTCCCCGACCGCACTTCCCTCACTGCTCATTTCCCAATTATTTCATATGATCCTGATTATTATGTTGTCACGTACGGCTCAATGCTGATTTTGGTGTTATCCTTCACCAGGCAAAATCCAAAGTCTCTGTCCATCCTGTCTAAAGAAAAAAAAGGTAAAAATGCTCAAGACAAAAATCACCCTGCTGAGACTTTTACCCTTTTTTCCCATCCTCATCCTAATTACCTAATAATTTTATTACCTAATACAGTACTGAACAGCTGGTTGGGGTCTCCGTTAGTAGAGGAGCAGAGAGTGCTGAAATAAAGGCCGGATCCTTCCCGAATGGGGCTGAGCATGGGAGGCGGCGTGTACGGAGAGCTCTGGAACAAATCCCGCAGGAGATGGTCGACCAGGAACACCGGGGAGCGCAGGTTGCTTTGGAAGCGGCCTCCGGACGCGGGCTGCGCTTCGCAGGACGGCGGAGGCGGGATGAAAAGCGCCTTGGGGCGCGGCGGCCTCTTCCTCTTCTTCGGGTGCACCTTTGCCTCCAGCTCTTGGGCATCCCGGCTTTCCCGCTCGCCCACCTGGACACACAATTCCAGACGCGCTCCAGCACACGCTGAGGAGCAAACAGGCGGTAAAAACACCCGACAAGAGCAGGATGCTGCTAGGGAATCACTCGGATACCTTCAGCACGCAGCCAGGGTCCCCTTTGCTGCCCGCCGGCGGGTTTGGGGCGGCCACGGGCACCGAGACCGGGATGACGAGCGGAGCCGCCGCTTCCCAACGCGCCTCCGCTGCGGAGCGACTGCTCCCAGCCTCCCGCGGCTGCAGCGGCTTCGGAGCATTGCCATTTTCCTTACAAAAAGGGGAAATTGGGTGAAGCTTCTGGCATCGGAGGACATCAAAGAGCTCTGCAGACTAGTCCTTCGATTCACTTAATACTGCTTTAAAACCCACTCTAAAAATGCTTGCAAGCCCTCTACACTGAATAAATTTCTCCTAAAACAACGTTAATTTCGTTACAGCCTGGAACAAAATGCTTATTCTACCACTTCCTTATCCTAATTTTTAGGAAACCGAGCTCCCAAGTTTGTATTATCAGCTGTAACAGTCAGGCTTAACCTTTTTTCTCTTATTTCATAGCTTTAGAGCAAGAAGCATTATTGGCAATGACAAAAGCCTCCGCAACACTCCAATTGTCCCAAGAATTCTGTTGGCAATAACCAACAGCAGAGCTTTCAGTAGCACCAGGAGTCTGGATCCTAATTGTTTTACGCACTGGAATTTTTAGCAAAAAGGTCAAGTCACTTCATTTACCCCCATACAGGCGGCTTTCAGGGAATCCTTAAATCAAATTCCTGCTAAATACTAAGTACCTAAGGATTCGATTTCCTTTTACCTGCGGCTCCTCCTTCCTCTCTGGTGAATACCACTGTTCACCATGAAAACACAAGTGGCTCTCCAGACCTTTCCCGGTATAAAACAGCTGACTGGAGTTCTTGCAAAGAAAACCACTTTCACATTTGCCTCCATCTGTAGGAACACCACTGGTCTTATTACTAAGAGCGAAAAATCAAGGTAAAGGGATAGAAAATTAACATTATAAAGTTGGACACCTTTTTTTTTTCTTTATTTAGTCACTAACAATATTTTAACACGATTTTTTTTTTTTAAAAAGCTTTTTTTCACCGTGATTTTGAAACAAAAAGATCTACACTAAAAGGTCCAGGGGGGTTTTCTCTGGAAAACGCACGTTTGGTGCAACGTGGGGTTTTTGCAATATCTGCTTCATTATGGAAACTCTGTGGGTCACTCCACCTTGTGAACTGAGCGTTTATAAAAGGGGGCGTCAGAAGTGCTGAGCACCAATTTCTCTAAGCAAAGAGCTCCCAGATGCTCCCTAACAGTAAATTCCGGCCTTACCTTGGGAGAAACGAGGCGTTTCTCATCTAAACCCCTCTCGTGACACGGAAATCAAAGGCAGAACCAAACCAGAAACGCTCAGAAGGGCGAGGGAAGCTGCTTACCATCCTGCGGCCAAGCTCTCCTCCCTTGCTGCAGTAGTAAAGCTGTAGATATTTCCACCCTGCAGTTCAAGGAGTAAGAAGCAAAACCAGATGTTATTTCATCTGCACGCAGAACTTCACAAAAGTCATGCCACGTTCGAGGCAGACACGGAACACGGGAGGTTTTGCCCCAAAACTGGGGATTTGCACCCGCGCAGCAGCGCTCATCAACTCATCCCGTAAACCTTAAATCCATCTTCGTTATTAATCAATATTCCCCGCGACTCTCTGATAAGCACGAGCGGGCTGCAAAGGTGTAAACGTGACCCTGTTCTCATGGATAAGCATAAAATGCAACTAATTGTGTGTATATATATAATACACGCACATACACGTATACGTATGCACATATATATGCACAATACACATATATATGCAAGTAATATATACACACACAGTTGCATTTTCACAGATAAGCACAAAATGCGACTGATTGTGTATATATACACACATATATATACATATATATACACACACATATATACATACAATATATAATACACCTATACACGCACACAATATATAATATACATATACATAGTCGCATTTTGTGCTTATCTGTGAAGACAGGTTCACATTTGTTATATACACGTAATATTTTTCTATGAATTTATATTAAAATATGTTGTGTAATAATATATAACGGAGCATACACAATTTCTATATATATTGTGTATATAACTGTAATTTATAATATTGTGTAATATGTGTGCATACACATGTGTATACACACATATGTATGTGTATATGTGTGTATATTATGTTTTATATATGTGTATATTACATATTTTATATATAATGTACAAGCTTCCCTCCAAGCTTCCCTCCAAGCTTCCCTCCAAGCTTCCCTCCAAGCTTCCCTCCAAGCTTCCCTCCAAGCTTCCCTCCAAGCTTCCCT